CCCCCTTTTCCCCGTCTCGAAATCTCATGTCGCTCCACTCGTAAGCTAATGTTCTCAGGTTCTTCTTTACATAATCTCAATTAAACACAACAATCAAGACAAGAAATAGGCATCGAGTTTGTTCCAAGGATACCCTTGAGTTCGTTGTGCGGACAAAAGACGAATGAGGCCTCTTCTTTCTTACCTTCTTCAAGTCCTTCCTGTTCACTACAGGAACACTGTATACAATACTCACAAAGTAAGCTATTAACATCAACAACTGCCTTGAACGTTGACTTTGCATGTTGGCACCAGCTTCAGAAGATATGTTGAAGTTTACAGAGGAGATGAGTCTGTTGAAATGGTTCGAAACAGCAAACTGTACTATTCTGTGAAATATAATCTGTGTCTGGTTGTTTAAAAAGCATAAGCCAGTGGTGACGTAAATGAAATTGGCAGCCCGTTGAGTATGGATTGATTTCTGGGGATGACCCTGTCATCACTTGACGAAAACATTGCTTTGATTGAAAATATGATGAAAAATGAAACTGCTCAGCAAGCGCAGGTGGCCCAAGCTCACGTCTCGAGAAAAAGCCAACAATTAATTCATGAACGCGTCACGCGTTATGTGACTCGGTGTTAAGTTACGAGAGGAACCGTTGAAAATTTGAACAAGTTTTAAGGAATAGTATGGGGAACGGAATATGATCGACTTACAACGATAATTATTTCGAAATATGAATATTTTACACGTAAAATCAATAACACCTACCAACATCATGTGTGTCCGTTGTAGTTTCTGGCGATTTCTTCCGTTTTAGGCTTGCTTTACCATCACTGTTATTCCTGCCAATAGAAGAAGTCGCGGCTGCACACTCCGATTTCGACCGTTGTCCACGCGGAGGTGATTTGCGCACCGAAAATCCTCCCGATCGGCATTTTCTCAGCCATATTTTACGATCCAAGATCATTGCACCCTGGGACATGTCTCAATACCAAAACTCCCCGCGCATTTCGCTGGAAACGAGCGTTTTCTTCCTGAATTTCCAAGTTCGCTTCTTTCTGGCTATGCTTTGAACAAGCAAACTGGACACGACCGCGGGAAAATCTTGGGTACGAGGTCAATTTTCTCTCTACCGTCAGTAGTAAGGGCGATCAATGTGCCATACTTACCCCATCCCCACAGAGACACCAGGCGATATGGCTGAGAAAAATGCTGAGAAAAATGCCGATTGGGAGGATTTTCGGCGCGCAAACCACCTCCGCGTGGACAATGGTCGAAATCGGAGTGTGCGGCCTTGACTCCGTTCGCGCAAAGTGATTGGCGGAGAGGCTGTGAGCTCGAGGGGCTTATAAAAGAACGATGACTCTGAATGACGAGTTTGAAAAACATTAATGGTGCATTTCAAGTGAGGAGTATGAGATGATCGAGTACCCTTTCGGTCAAAAAGCGGCAGGTTAAGGGTTTCGAATTCAGGGCAAAGCTTCTCCGAGCCTTGAGGGAGAATGATGCCAAGTTCTTTTGATTTCACCTCCCCTTAACGTCCAACTTCTATCTCATGAGTTCGTTTTGTTTTTGAGGTCGAGATACAAAAGCAAATGGCCAGTTACGTGATCTGTTCTTGCATTTTTTACACTCCAACAACGCAAGTCAAAAGTAAAATTTGAAATATTCAATGTCAGGTGCCCATCACTTAAGTAATGGGCTCCTGTCAATAACAATAATTTTATTTGAAATACGTTCCTATTGGAATGTTTTATACAGTTAAGACAAATGATACAAAAATAAATAAAAATTCCTTTGATCTGATTTTTTTCGCTGAATAAAGTATTGCCATTGCCATATGTCATTGTTCATTACAAAGAAAACCTTGATATATACAAATTGAACCAATTTAATATTTGAAGGAATTCTCTAAATAACAGTTCACTGACGTTATAATATAGCAGAGTTTTTTTCTTCCTGATTCAGTGTTCTTTAGTGTTGTCGTTTGCAAGGGAGTGCTCAATTCAAATCAAGGCTGTTCGTTGGCAGAACCAACGATTAAGCCTCCGACATTTGTATTACATTTCATCCACTGTTCAGCAATTCGTTTCGGGTATCCAACATCAATTTTCGTTGTATCTTTCTTCAGCCTCCAATATAGGTCTCCTTTAAAGATGTAACTCTTATCATTTAGCCAAGAAACTGCAGCATTGATGTCACTGGGGAAATTTTCATCCCAGGCTTGTTTGATATTTCGTGGATATCCTGAGTCGAACTTCTTTGCACCTTTACTGTATCTCCAGTATTTTGAGCCCTTGAATACGTATGTTCTCCTATTTCTTTGCCAAACGAACATTGCGTCCATGTTTTCGGCTTCTTTGGAATTAAAATATTGGTTAAGATCACCAAACGACTGCAGCTGTCTATTCTTGTTGTATTCCCAAAATCTACAAGAGAACAAACAAAACATTACTTATAAAAAAAATAAAATAGAAAATTCACGCCATGTCATCACGGTTGAAGTTGAAATACATCACCAAGATAATACTGAGCGCTCGCCCGCCAAAATTACGCCTGCTATGCAGCCTATGACCAAATTAATTTTCTGCACAGATTAATTGACGGAGTTTTCTTGACCTCTTCAATCTCATTTTCGGAACACTAGGCTTCAAAACCGATGCCAGTAATTTTCTTTATTGCTACTGGCCTTCCCGTTTAAGCTAATGATATCCATAATTAAGTTTCGTGTTCTGATAATTCCTTTGGTCAAAATGTTAACAGAGGAGAATATTTACCATATCAAACACGATATCGTAAACATATCAACCATTAAATAAAACTCACTTGTTTCCTTTAAAGAAAACGAGGGTTTTCTTTAATTTATCCTGATAAACGGCGTCTACTGGGGTCTCTACTTCAGACCAGACGTCTCTAACTTTCTTGGCTTTAGCTGGCTTAACCAAACGTGTTCCGGTATGCGTCCAGAAGTAGTTTCCATTAAAAAAATGCGTCAATCTATCGCCCCGGTGGTTTTCTTCGACCGCAACAGCATCATACTTGGTTACCGAGCACACATCGGGCTCGGATGTGTCGGGATCAGTTGGGGTTGGTGATGGGGTTGGTGATGGCGTTGGTTTGGTTGATGGTGTATTCGGATCGCTTGATGTAGGAGATTGAGTCTTTTTACTTGTGGGCTTGACAGTGGTTGAAGGCGTGGATGGTTCTATTGAGACAGAGAAGTAAAAGTGCGGTCAGTTTATTTGAGACTGCTTCAAAGCGTATTTAACTTTTCATCCCGACGATGGGGTTTCATAGTTTTCAATTGATAGCAAACATGTCTTGAACGCGAGGACACGGAGAGCGTAAACATAGGGATTGAGCCATTCGCATGCGAAAATCCTCGCACACTTGTAAAGCGAGGCTCAAATAAGCAACCATTGGTTGGGAGTCTTCCCCTTTTTTGAGCTTCTTCTTTTCACAATACCCTTATTAGAAATTTTATTTTACGATTAAATCTTTCCTTCAATTTACCACTTCTTCATCTTCTTCTTCTTCATGCGGAATAACTCCTCTGAATGCGATTAAAACCGATTCGCTTCCCGAATTCATCCGTTCAAAAATGAAAACTGTAGGAGGTAATAAAAATATAAAACTACTTACTTCCGTAAATCTGCTGTATTCCCAGGATGTCATCCTCAGTAAGCTCGATGTTTGGGAAATACCCCTTGTACCACGGGTACATAACGGCTTCACGCACATTGGAATGCTCCAGACCCAAACTATGTCCAAACTCGTGAAGCGCCACCCAGTCCAGGTTAATGCCGCTTGGTTCTCCTGTGGTGTACCTCTCATCGTCATCAAAATGAGCATCACCGGACAAACCTAGAAAGAGTAATCATCTAAGTTAAATCAAATGATAATAATCGCGATTACAAAACAAGGTTATCTTAACACAAGAATTGCAATAATAACAGCAATGACAATAAAAGTGGTCATGATGATGAATTTGATGATGAAAGCAATTGGAACTGTAAAAATGATAACCCTAAGAAAGCTTCATAAATAAAGATTGGTTTAATCTATATGTAGCTGTCAAATATATTTTAAAAAGAGACAAAACAAAACAAAACAAGAATGATTTTGCGCTCAATTGTGAATAATTTGTTTTGTTTTTGTTCCGTTTGAGACTTTCATTGTTCATCATTACCAGTAACTGTTATCTTTGTTTTTCTTTCCATAGAAACCAACCTTTATTGTTGTGTGGATAATAAGCATGAGCGAGCGTTCCTCCTTGACCATCGAATGGATAAGGGTCGCCATGATAACGTCTAACAAAGCTAATCAAGATGTCAACGTCTTTGTCATCAACTGCAGGGTCTGCCTCAGTGATGGTCAACGAGCTCACGGCAGCCCATTTTTGGATCATTGTCCGAATAATATTTCTTTGGGTGTCTAGAGGAAGATCATGTGTACGCCACCTGGTAAAGCGGTACGTCAAATGCTGTAATAGAATTAGAAAATGCGAGGTCACTCTTGGTTTATCAATGCTTTACTTTGATCAACAACGGTCAATCAGATCAGAGGAAAATAACGCAAGGTGCCAATGAGCGCACTGCACCAAGTAAAAATAAGTGAACTTGCAAAACCGCGAAAAAACGTGGGTGCCACGGTTAGGTTTGATTGGTTAGGTTTGTAATTTGGGTTCAGTTCTTTCGATCCTCGATCTGAATTGCTCTTGCTACAACAACAGAAAAAAAAACTGATCACTAAGGAGAATTGACTTCCATTGTCCCGAATATTGGCAAATGACCAACAGACTCTTTCTTTTATTTCACATTTCCTCGACTGAAGTAAACCTCTTGAAAAAAGCCATCATTGCTTCTCTCAGGTGAGTAAAGTGTTACTTTAGCTATTTCTGATTTTGCAATCTCGCCAAAAAAAAACAATCTTGTAGTCTCCGATCCATGAGATAAAAGGAAAGGATCCCTAACCATTCTGACCTAAATAAACAATATACCTTCTTGTTCCATCTGGTGCCTTGAATATAGTACCTTCCAATTTCTTTCTGACCATCTTCAGTTTTGTTTAGCTTTTTAATGGGATCCTTAGTGCCACATCTGGATGTATTCATCAGTTTTATCGTCTCTGCGTTGAGTTGTCCGGTGACAGGAAGGTCGCCCATCCTTTGAACATTTCTTATTGCTTCAGAGAGGACATCATGATACGCTGAAGAGTCGTTAGGTCTCGTCTCTGTTTTCAGGTATTCATAGCCTTTCAGAAAACGAACAGCCTGCAAGAGAAAATTGAGTTGGATAAACCTTTAAATTGCAGTTTACCTGTTTGGATCAATAGATCATGCACGATCTACTCCATGACGGCTGCAAAACGTTTATTGGTTAACGGCTTTAACTCCCAAGAGTGACCAAGACAGAATTTCTCCCTACAATATCAACACAGTATCAACCAGACAAGTGATGAGAATGAAGAAAAATGTCAATTTGGGGATAATTAGTTGATCCAATACTAAATTCTCTGACCTAACATTATAAGAATTGTATGGTTGACAGTAAGGAGAATGACAAATTTGATCTGGAAGTTAAAGGGTTAATGAGATAACATCATGTCACATCTTGCATATGGAAGGAGAAAGCTCACTGGAAAATTTCTTTCATTTCAATTCCAGATAATCGTTTCCTGAATCTTAAAACTTTTCAGGCCTATAAATAAGATCAACTGTCTTTTGCTTTAAAGCATGTGGTGTCAAGCAAGAGATAATAGATTGTAATTATCATGACTATAGTCTCTTGTTTCGGGTTACTGACACAACTGTCATGTAGTTTGACCGAACCGTTTGGGGAACGTATGCAGAACAACCATAGAGTTAATGCGTATTCTAACGTCTCTACAAGAGATCTTTAGATAGCTCACTAACTGAATACAAGGCCGTGGCAACGAGGCTAAACCATCCCGGTTCGAGGTCAGAAGCACCTTTTCGGTAGCAGTACAAAAATCCCGAAGTATCACTCAGTGAAACTCAATATCACTCACCAATTTTTTCTCCTCCGGAGTCCCGTCAAGTACGTTTCCACCCGAAGTAGGTATGGGTGCGCAGTAGGCGCAGTTAAAAAGCGAAGCAAAAGCTGCCACGGCAGCAATTGTAACCAAAAGACCCTTCATTACAAAGTTAGATATCGTATACCTCGAGATGTTTGCTGCAACGTGAAATTCAGTCAAAGAGCAGTCAATATGGTTCATCCACTGTGAGAAGCTGTTTAAATAACGAAGGTCCTCGACCATCCTACGCAGTTTAACACAGTTGACGTGTGACGATGCTTGACGCATTTTCCGCTGGGGCGTGGAATGAGTCAGGAATCAATTTCTCTGAAAACGCCTCAGAGGACTGTTGATTGACTTGCAAGACTTATGACGTAGAGTACTAATCGAGTAAAGGAAATTGAGCTTAAACGAGACTGGTTCGCTGAACATGCATTACTTTTTACGCCATTAGGTGAGCAAAGACAAGCGTGTGGCAAATGATATCGTTTTTTGATCTACAGTTTTAAAATCTCAGTCATCATAATTTTCGACCAAATTTTAGAGAGGATTCAGAATTTTCACGAGAATATCATCAGTTTGTTTCCGTAAGCAATCCTACGGGCGGTTTCCTGTTGTTGCGGTTATCATCTGAACACCCTTCTTATTTTGCAGCTGAAACGACAAAACTGCTGATTTAGAGATATTTCAATCGTTTCATAGATACTTGCGATCGATTTTTAACAAAGCTGTTTAAAATACTTTTAACCCTTCAGAAGAACCTTTTTTGAATCGTGATATCCAAATTAAGAGAAAGAGGAGCGACAAGGAGAACTTTTGAGTATGATAATGCATGACTGTCGGAAATGATCGACTTTGTTTTGGTCTGAGGAGTCATTGAAGGGCCGCCCGAGGTTAATCATATTTTGGTCCTTTATCTCATTTGTTAAAAACTTCAGGAAATTATAACTAAACGTGATCCCATGATTTACTGCTTAAATATTCCTATGGAAACCATATCCCTGATATGCACTGAACACGGCTTATCTTGAGAAGGAATCAGAGAGTTAATTGCTCAACATGGCTTCGAAATCCCCATGTGCACGAGACACACGTACGTAAAAAGTATCCCAATTTCGAGTGTCGTAAATATCTTATATCATATCTTACATCATATCATGGCATATCTGCCATGATATGATATTCCGGAAATGGCCCTGTCTCGCGCCAGACAATGTTGTCGCTTTCTCGCCATCGTCATACACTTTTCCCGTAACCATAATTTTAATTAAGAAACAAACAAACTTTTAAAGAAAACAACGACAAAGGTCGGCTTTATATAATAGAATATTGCTAAATAATTGATGAACATTGGGAAACAGAAGGTCGAGCTGCCCTTTTGGTTAAAGTCCATGTGACTCAAAGGAAATTACGTTAGCAACCACTACATAATTTGAGAATGAGAAATCATTTGAAAACATAAGCACATCCCTGAGGATGTGAGGTCCGGCTTAAGTATAAATTAATGTTTTGCTGGATAAGTTATGAAATAAGCTAGAGTTTTTAACATGTTTTATAAATTCTCTTCGTCTAGACTCCAAAATGTTTTCTTTAATTCAAATAAAAATTCTTCCTCCCTCTAAAAATTTCCTATGTTCTACACATGACCTTTTATGGTATTCTTAAATGAACCGCGATAAACCATGAAGCAGACCTTTCAGATTCGTAAAGGAAACCGCGTTTGTTCTACTAGAAAATTGGAAAAAATGGTCCTCTTTATCAGAGATTTGTGGCATAAAGAGGGATAACGTTTTAGTTATCTCAGATTCATTGTCTCGCTTTTGCGGAATTGGCCTTAACTGTTTTCTCCCGGCTCACCGGAACCATGTTCGTTGCCTACACGGTTCTCGTCAATCATTTTTTTTTTAAGTGACAAACTTCAAAGGCAAAGGTTGTTTTGGTTGAAAAATAAAAAGATCTCTGGTTTCTCTTTCAAACTTAAAAGCGCATTCTTAAAGCGCTCGGTAAACTCAGTTAAACTTGGGTAAACTCTTCCACATGGCAGTGATAATGTCTGTATTTCCTTCAAATACAATAAAAACACATGGTCGCTAGAGTGGGTCACGTTGAAGCGTTGTAAGGATAGACGGCAAGGATAGCTTTCAGAGGACCGTGGTGGATAAGAAAAAGGCTATTGAACAGAAAAATCGCTTTCCAGCGGATGATTGTTAAAAAAAAAATTTACGGCACTATCCGTCATTTAGAAATTTATGCAGGGGATGGCGTCATGCACTCCTCTAACAACCGACACCAGAGCTACTGTTCCCTTTATTAATTCGTATAGGCGAATATAGCAGGCCTGTTCATTTCTTTAAAAGATTAATTCAATGCCACTTTGCAGAGAGAACTTGCACAGATGCTTTTACAAAATTTCTCTGTTAGAACAGGAACCCATTCGGAAAAGAAAACATCGAGAGATTACAAGAATTGAATTTTTTTCCGAATCAAAATTTCTCATTTAAAAAAGTCACATCTTTTCGTCATTCATGTGAGCTTATTTAACATGAGCTTCGTCCTCTTAAACCTTCTAAATCTAAAGAAACCTCAAAAACGCTCTAAAAAAATCAGCAAGTCGACATTTCTCTCAAGACGTGATTATATCCACAATAATTCAACTCGTTGGCTAAGAATCCTAGAACCCGATTAGTAACGGGACATGCTTCACTGCAACCCACCGGAGCTTTTCTTCTTCAGAAATGTTTGTCACGTACGCGATGATGTTGTAGGGTCTTGTTTAGAGCTTGCCTTAGGAACAAATCATGTTCTACTCTTATCAAACAGAGGAAATTAAATCTAAAAGAAAAATATATTCTAGAAAGAATAAAGAAGAATTTGCTCGAATGAAGTATTTTGTTGCTGTGCTACGTGATCGAGCAACATTGATAACATATTCGTTTAAGGGTGCACATGCTGCGTTACAAAATCGTTTCATCAATGAGACAATCTTCAGCGCTTTAAACCGGATGTGGCCAGACTATTTATCCGTACCCTTGCATCTTTAAACAAAATCAATACCCTCTTTGAAGAGGTGGAGCTACCGTATACACAAACATCACAATTGCTGAAAGGAATAAAGGTGAACTAGATCTTAGAGTTCAGTTTTATTTTGTTTCAGCGTAGTTCAGTTCTTATTTCTAATCCGAAGTATGGGTACAGAAAACTTTGTTTTAAAAACGAGACGGCTGCTGGTTCCAGAAAAAAAAACGTTTAGGAGAGACAAACGGTAGTGCAATTCGGAAAAATATAATTAGGCCAGACAACGGAAAATTATTTTTTTATTAAGAGGCACTCGAAACCTTGAGATGGCAGACACCAGATACGTGCTCTAATTATACATCTTGTCGCCATATGCTACGTTAGGTCTGCTTTTTGTCTGTTTTCGTAAGCATGTTTTTGCTCGAAATTTCTCTTACTGGAATTCTCTCTTGGGTCCAGGGGAAACTCCAAACTGATTTAGAGAAACACGTTCTGTTTATTGGTGAAACGAAGCATACCCTTTCGCTGGAAAGTAATTCTTTTTAACTGTGAAGGGTCAAAATGTAGCAGACAAGAAACAGGAAAAAGCAGCACTCATTTATTTCAAATTCTTATTTTCTTAGCGCTTTGCGCTAAAGACATTTGTCAGTCCGGAAATTAATTTGGTGACCATGGAGACGGTAATCACATAACGGCGTAACATGTGACTGACACAGTCTACAGACTGACTGTTAACCTACCGCCTGCAACGCAGGCTAATAGACTGTATGATTTTACGCCACTATCTGCGTCGATGTACATACTGTAAGATTTTAAGCCGTAAACTAACGGCGTAAAATCTGTCAGTATATAAGGACCCCTTAAGCTATGATATGATCAGTTGTTTGCTAAACAAGATTATTTTCAACAGTCACATATGCATGTCATTTAAGTCGTCAAGTACGAGTATTCCACTTGACTTCTACTTCTACAGGAGTCGTAAATTCTAATAAAATTATGTGGTCTGTATATTGAACTGGAAAAAATGGTGTGTTTGAATTCGAAATAATTGTTGCACGAGACATTTTCTAGTTGAAGAACCGTTACGGTAAAACTCAAGTTCAAGTGCTCTTCTCTTTAGGAGTCGGTGGTAAAGGGCAAAGAACTTGGAATGATTAAAATTTTACGATCATAAATCAAGTTTGACGAAAAGGAAATCATAAATTGGCTCTAAAACTGGAAAGATAGAGGTTTCGCGGGAAGTACCACGGCAACAGTGATTTTAAATGAAAAATGCATAGTACTTTCTCACATGTGAAGTTACGTAACAAAAATTTTAGTCACGTACAATATTAATGAGCACGTATCATTATCGTTTGTTTTCGTCTCTCTTAAAACTGTCACCTATCTTCAATTTTTTGCCGAAAAATCAGAAGAAAATATCGTTAATCGTAAAGCATACCATGGAATGAAAAACGTTGAGAGACAATCTACAGTCTCAAAGAAACTAGCTCAGCACAACTGCATAGAAACCAGCCAGTCTTGTATCATCTTTCAGTATTTCAAAAATCTTTGCAAGACACGACAAAATATCGAGGAATCAGTAGTTTTATTTGCCAAAATTTTGGCACTCACGGTATATCCTGGGGTGCTACCCTTCCTCATTCGGAAGCGTGGAACACCATGTCCTCGAAACTGCTTGCCCTCAGGCTCAACCAATAAATCGTGATATCATCTTAACCAACAGCAGTCTTCTCGCGTGATTTATGTACTTAATACTCTTACAAAAATAAGATCAAAATTACTAAGAGGTATGCGGTAAGTTTCTTAGATAAATCTCTCTTCTAATTTCCTTTTTGCTTCACTACAAATTTAACCGAAGGTTAGAAATTTTTCGAGGAAATCCTCGAACTAATTTGCAATGTCATTTCTTCCATCTCGTTTCTTGTCACCGGCAACCCTTTCATCTTCACTTTAGCGGCAAATATTTGATTTCTCTGTCTTAAAAATACTTTCTTTTTTGGTCATTTCGAAGAGCACTCGTTATGATTTTGGATAAAGAAAGAATAGAAAAAGGAACAAGAATTATTATATAGGCACTTCAGGTCCATGTTTGGTATTTTTTCGGCGTCGACAAAACTTGGAACGGACCGGGATCGGCTCACGGATCATGGATCGGATCATGTTAAATAAAATTAGAAATTTTGCGCGACAAGCCAAAATAAAGTCCGCGTCACATAATAGACCGCAGGCCTCACAAGGAGTTTTTCCATTTTGCCCAGAAACTCCTTGTAGTCACTTTCACGGCTGTGCCGAGGATTGTTGTATAGTGCCACCATGGACGAAGGCAAGTGAGGGGTACTTATCATTTCATCAGTCAGTTCAGAAAAACGCGACAAAGTTGCTTCTAGAGGTCCTTGAGCTTCTTCCGTTTCCGGTGCGTGAGGCACGTCATAAGCCATAGTTCGCAAACTGATCGACCTAAGCGCGCCACATTGCAAGGTCAAAGTCTCGGGCGCTATTCGAGACGTGATGACCTCCTATGGATCCCAATGGCATTTCATCAACGAGAAGTTATTTCAGTGGCATTTGGCTTCTCACGTATTCCTCTAGATAACAATAACAATTCTTCTCAATAAGCCGTTTCACGGCTGTTCGAGGTCAGTGGAGACGCTTAATTGCCGCTCATATCGAAGACAAACGGGAAAAAATGTTGTTTATATTTTTGACGAAAACCGAAAACCAAATTCTAAAAAACAGCAAAACCGAAAAACCGAAGTTTTGGCACAAAAACTGAAAATCCCAATGCCCCCCTCCTTAGCATCGCTTGCCTTCGTCCATGGTGGCACTACACAACACTCCTCAGCACAGCCGTGAAAGCGATTCATGGAGTTTTGAGGGGGAAAAAAAACTTTCAAATGAGCCGGTGCACTCTATTGTGTCACGTAGACGTGACATAATGGCCGTGACATAATACGCAACATCTCTCATTTTCATTGAAATATATTTAGTTTTTTCACACCCCCCCCCCTTTTTTTTTAACTCTTTATTAATTTTGTAAACAATTTGATCACTTTATTTTTCAAAACCCTTTGTCCGTTTTCGAACCGTGAGGTTGGGCCTGCGCGCAATTATGTCACGCAGACTTTATATTGGTTAGTCACGCAAAATTTCTAATTTTATGTAACATGATCCGATCCATGATCCGTGATCCGATACGTTATCCAATCCGTGATCCAATCCGTGATCCGACCCGTGATCCAGTTCGCAATCCGGTCCGTGATCCGGTCCGTGATCCGGTCCGTGATCCGATCCGGTCCGATCCAGATTTTGTCGACGTCGGTATAATTCAGTTCGCGCCAATATAAACATCCTCCTCTTATTTTTTTACCCCTGCTAGTTTCTCACCTCGGAAGTGATGAGTGTTTATAACTTGGACCACGTCGTAAGTCACGCCTTTATAAAAGAGAACTTGAGCGTTGTGATGGGTGAAGCGCTTTTTTTTAAATTCAAGCTATATACTCTTTGACTAAGTCGGAGTGCTGAACGGGAAAATTTTTGGCTCGTATTTGGTCATGAAGTACGAACCGAGTGCAAAACTTTCTCTTTTTCTCAAAAATAAGAAACCCATGATTCATCGAGTAGCGCCTCTCATTTTCTCATTTGTCTTATTCAAGTTGAAGTCCAAACTTCTCGATTCACTTTTTAAGATAATGAGAAGAGCTGTGTGAGTGCCGGGTCTAGGGGTCTGATGGCTTTTCCAGACAGGCTCACATCAACCCGTCCGACCCTACACGTCAGTTTTACACACGTTAGCTTTTACTCGGTTTCGTAGTATGTGATTACGCGCGCAGTTGGCTGAATGACTAACACTTGCCAACGAATTGATATCGCGGGCGCATGAGACGAGAATGAGTCTGCGTCAGTTTTCTGCTGGGGCTGGATTCATTTGAGACGAAGTCCACACACTCTTAGTGAAAGTTTGTTAATTCCTTTCGATCTTAGTTTCGACTTCAAATAGAGCGAAAATCAAGAAGAAGTTAGATTTGAAAACCACTGAGGCTGAAATGAAAGGAATCGTCTACGGGGTTGGAACACTAACTTTGATCTTTGCACTTAATCGTGTGCACTGCGCTCCTATGAAGCAAACGCGTCAAACGGTAAGGCTGCTTCGCTCTGTTATAAGGTTGTCGTTTTTCCAACCTTGGTAAAAATTGCGTTAAATTCGGTACGCATACAAAAAAGGGGCGAGTTATGGTATCAGTCTGAAAAAGGGTACATGAATTGATATTTTTGTAATGTAACTGATACCTGCTCTCCTGAATAGGTGTTTGTATTACCCTCCTTCATCTTTCTGTTGTGTGGAAAAAATATAAGGGTGTCAAACGGGTATTGCTATATTTCTTAATTATTTTTAAACTATGGCTGTGAAAAAATTAGGTAGCATAGCAGGAATTTCTCAATACGGAGAGATGTAATCCACTGGCTCCAAGCTTATCTTTCAAGAGGGAATCGATTGTAAACATGTTTTGATTAAAAAATAGCTTGGATTTTTTTCTCAGTGGGTATACGGTTGTCAAAATACAGATCAGTCACTAATTTCGCTGAAATGATCATGGAGAGCTAATCACCTGAAATGAAAACAAGCGCGATCATTTAACTGCATTTTTTTTTTAAACTGATTGCTTTATTTTTCTTGGCTCAACGACGTATTTAATGCATCAAGTAGCTAAATGAACGACTATCACGCTTAGCAATTCGTGATCCAGAGTCACCAACAAATGGTTAACAAGTTTATTTCATCATCATGATTAAAAAAGCAGACGATGGAACTGTTTTTTTTTTTTATAAGCATACTCATCCTTTATTGAAAGAGTATCTATTAAGTGGAATCTAAAATTACAGAAATCACACCAGAGGCAGGCGACTCAATCGGACAAAATAATCAGCCAAGAGAGGAGTGACCGAGCAACTTTCATCAGAGTACTTTGCAATCTTGTACTTTGAGGCGGTCCTGAACCAAGTTTATTTCTGGAGAGGGAGAGGATGGAAGAATTAATCTCCGTAAAAAATGTGCCTAGTCGGTTGAAGGATGCATTTATTCCCTCGCAAGCGATCACCCTTATTTTTTGCTTGTCCTATCGGACTAAAACATGTGAAGGTGTGAGTCTCTCGGAAGCAAATGATATGATTAACATCAGTAATAATAATAATAATAGTAGTAGTAGTCGTAGTAATGGTAATATCACAAAGATCTACACAGCGCTGATACGAGAAAAAAAATTCAAAAGTGCTTTTTAGTAAGTACTTAAAGCTTTCCTAAAAAGAAATGTTTTCAGTTTCTTTTAAATGGCGAGGCTACTACAGGTTCTAATCGATAATGGGTAGAGAGTTCCAAAAAACAGGAGCAGCATGAGCAAAAGGGAGATTCCGAAGTGTAGAACTTGAATCTTGGAACAAATAGAAGAGATTGTGTTGAGGAGCAAAAAGCATAATCAGAAGCTAGTGTAGGAGAAAAACAAATTATAAATAATTTGTCAATCGCTTTTCTGCAGGTTGCACCTTATGTGACTTGAGCTCCATACTCGCCTAAAAAGCGTGAAAAAAAAATCTTAATAATAAGGCCTGTTCTGCAGGAGAGGGGTTTCGTGCTGTTTGGGAGTGACGTGGATGACACGGGCACACCCCTTATTTGTAATTGACACCCTACTGCTCAACTACGTTCATAAAGAGCGCAAATAAACGTAAACTCGAAACCACGCACACTGTTGTTGCCTGGACAAGGAACCATCAGAATATTGTAAAACAATAATTTAAACGGTTCATAGCCCACGAAATACGAACTGTAGGGACTGAACATGGATTTCAAACCCTTCACAGTGGCATTGTTAACTCTTTCGCTATCTCCGGTGTTCGTGCGAAGCGCTGCGATCAAGCAGGCGTACCAAACGGTAAGACTTTACTTCAGCAAATGTACGGTTGATGGATGTTGCACGCAAATACACAAGTGAGCAGAGGATACGTAGCAGATAATTTCAGCATTGTATAGACGTGAATATTTCAAATATGTGACCCGGAGCGACTAAAAGTCGTCGTAGTAAGTACGTGATTTCATTCACCCGGCGTTTTGAGCTCAGATGTGCAATCAATCTGCTTTTTTAATATTTACATCGCGGGGTTCATCTTCACGATTGTCGTTGTTCTGCAACAGCATGCGAAAGGTCATCATTGTACAACGACAGCTGACAAATACACATAACTGCAGTCCTGGAGGAATCATTACTGGAGTAATTTTGGGAAACGATAATTTTTTACATTCTGACAAAACGCGTGTATTCGCGCGAGAAACCCCGCACTGTCAAACCCACGTCCTAAAACTCCGCGCTCTCTCGCGTGTTCGCGTTATTTATCTGTGAGAGAAGAGTCTTTTCGTAATGTACATCACTCTTTCAAATGAAGCAAAAAAAATGTTTCATAAACAACATCAAATAAGCCTGCAGAATAGCCGTCAATTTTTGGCGAATTCAGGAAAACGAAGGCGAGTTCAAAGCGTGTTGTGCAATGAGGAGGAGGAGAAGTTGTTTCGCGCTCCCTCTTGCGCGTAAATCGCTTTTCCCGTTGCCCTCACTCTCGTCTCGTGCGTGTGTTCACTTCCCTGAAAAACGCAAAAAATAAAGCCTGTTACGCAGGTCTTGTAGATTTGCTCCAAGATTTTTCTTGTCGACTCGTGTATCTCCTTTTTTTGCTAACAACCTCTCTTATAAACTCTTCCATCAACTATTCTTTGTAGGCATTGTTTATGGAGAAATTTGGTTACTTGGATGTTGATGTCATAGGCAAGAACAGAGGTCCATTGGATCCGAACTCGACTGAGTTTCGAGCATCGATCAGGAAACTTCAAAGATTTGGCAATATCCCAGTCACAGGACGAATTGATGCAGCCACCATAAAGCTCATCAATACTGACCGGTGTGGTGTGAAAGATCCACCCTCCGATGCCGCAGGAAGATTTACTTTACAGGGGTCCAGATGGAAGCGAACGGTCAGGAAATAAGTTTTTTTAATTACAACGAAAAGACTTATGCTTCATTGCCGAAGATGATTACGAAAATTATTCTTGTTTTGATTGTCTTCAAGAGATACTATTGCTTTGTTTTGCATCTGTTGCCATAAACACTTCCAAGAAGCTTATTTAAATTGAAATCATAGCTACCCAGTCACGAAATTTTTAACCTAGCTTAAAGGTTTTCTTTTGAAGAAACATAACGCGGGGCAATTACGAAAGAGATAAGATATGACCGTCTATACCACATGTTGAGCTAACCAATCGAATCACAATCAAATCGTAACATTTGCTTAATTCTCGGCTGCTTGTTCGTCGTAACAGGGATATATTTGTGATAAGCATAATTCTTGTTAGTATACACTACAGCAATGGGTAGCGTCTAAGACGCGCTCTGATTGGCTACTTAAACTCCGAATATGCTTTGCTATTCACCACCAAACAACTCGCGCGGGAATTGCGCCTGAAATCGTTGCAGAAATCAATTAGTAAAGATCATTAATTTTCTAAGATATTATCTCACCGTTTTGGTATATACTAAAACAACTATCTTTTTTTTACAGGACATAACTTATAGGATTCTTAACTACACCAAGGATGGCATACCGTTCAGCCAACAGCGAAGAATTTTCCGGAAAGCGTTCGATTTGTGGCAGTCTGCCTCGGCGTTGAGGATTAGAGAGGTATACAGGGGAGATGCTGACATTCTCATCAGCTTTGTTCGCCAAAAGCATGGAGATCCATATGCCTTTGATCGTAGAGGTGGTACATTGGCGCACGCATTTTATCCCCACAATAACAGAGGTAAGAGTCAAGTTTCTTTCTTTGCGTATATAGCTGCGCCTACGAAGTACAGTAGTCAAACGTTAAGCATGCGCTGATTTTCGGCACGAAATTTCAAAGGAAAATATACGAATCAAATTTTTTCGTACAAACTAAGCGAGAAAAATTGAAACGCCAGCAGAAATCTGTTGAGAGAATTGGAAACAAAAGCAAGGAAAAGGAAGATCTGGGACTCTTCCAATTTCCCTTTGATTTCCATTTTGTTTTGAGCCTTACCAAAGAAACTATCAGATTTTGAAATAATTTGAATCACAGACTTCTATAGGTTGTGAATTGACTTCTTAAAGCACCCTGGTTCTAACAGCCTCAAGTCAAAGCATGACACGTAGCCATTACAAGGTTCGCTCATGCGCGAACATTCGACCATTGTGTTGACTAAGCTTAAGATTTTAACTAGTTCAGCATCTGACTTTTTTTGCATTTTTCCACTTTCCGAACGATCTCGGCGCCCTCCGCGCGGTTTAAAACCCACTCATCTGTTAAACTAATTACGTTATTCAGTTTATAACTAGTTCTTTGTTTACTTATTTCTCATTGAAGGTCTCTCTGGTGATGCCCATTTTGACGATGATGAACATTTCACAACAGGAAGGAAAGATGGCATCAACCTAGATTGGGTGGCTGTTCACGAGTTTGGACACAGTCTGGGTCTAGAACATTCTAACGTACAAGAATCCATCATGTACCCGTGGTACAAAGGATATGTTGAGGATATCAAACTAACAAATGATGATACGCAAGGCATTCAGTCTTTATATCCAAGTGAGTTGTCTGTTGGTAATTTTCCTATGTCCTTTGCTGTCTTATTTTTTCTATTGTTGTGACAATGACCACCTGAAAAGTCATCTCTGTGTGAGGAGGCTAATAAGAGTCCACGGTATGTTGATTAATTTACTTAACAAGTAATCTATCAATCAATTCTGCAGTTCAGTGAAACCATGTGTAGGTATCAAGGTCATTATGATTGTTGGTCTCAAAGATATTTTTAATCGTTTTTTTTTTGTCAATGATTATTATTATTTTCATTAATATTGTCATCGTCGTTTTTATCATCATCACCATATCATCATTATTATTCGTATCATTATCGTTATTATTGGGGAATATGTTTGACGCAGTGGTGAGAGTGCTCGCCTCCAACCACCCAGCCCGGGTTCGATTCTCAGACCTGGTGTGACATGTGGGTCGAGTTTGTTGTTGATTCTCGCCCTTGCTTCGGGGGTTTTTCTTCGGGTCTTCTGCTTTTCCTCCCTCCATTAAAACAATCATTCTAATTCCAATTCGAACTGGAAACAGTGGACAACAAGAACTACCTCGTGGAATGTCCACTCCTACCTACCATTTATTTTTTTATTTTATTATTATAATTATAATCTTTCGTACTTAGCATTATCATGCGTGCTATTTTATTATTTGCTATTTTTCTGACGGTATTATGTATAATCTTTTCAGTGCCAACTGTTCGGCGAATCATACCAACTACGAGAATCACCACCACTGTTACTACCACCAGACGCCAGCCCCCAACCCCGCGACCCACAGTTCCGACTGAGGTTATTTGCAGCAGCACAGTTCGTTATGACACAGTATTTGTTGGTACTAACAGGTGGACGTATTTCGTGGTTGGAGATAAGTTCTGGATCCTGGACAGGCAGCTGCGCAGGCGTGGACCGTACACCATAACGAGATATTGGAGGGATATAAAGACCCCTTTAGATGCTGCTCACCGCAATAAAAAAGGAAACGTGGTGTTCTTCAAAGGATCAGAGTAAGATACATTTTTTTGTAACAATTTGAGAGTTATCTCACAGGTCGCGCGGTTTCTATACTTAAGGTACCCATATTTAGAGCGTTCTCCAATTAAATATTCGAGCAACACGCTAGTTTGTTGCAAGTGGCACCAAGATACTAGCTCTTTCAACCGCTTACCCACTCCCACCGAGATTAAAAGGAAAGTCTACATACTATTATAGCTATCATTGCTACCAGAACTTATCTTATATTTTGCATGAAGCGTCTTGACAAGTCGCATCTCTTGCACATTCTGTCGAGGATGTTGATCTGAGCTCCGGCGTCGATGCAACATCAGGCCACCGCCGTTAGTAGCCCTTTCCCCTCATCCATCGAGAATGTGTGCTGAATATAAAACATTTATAGCAATATAAATATCACTTGTTCCCGAGAATCTTTAATTTAATTCTTTCATTCTTATCGTTAGGTTCTGGGAATATGACTCCAAGAGAGTGTTAAGGAATTCTGGTCAAATTTCACGGTACGGTCTTCCCTCGGCTCTCGCTAACATGGACGCAGTTTTCACATGGGAGAGGAACAGGAAGACTTACTTTTTCAAGGACACCCTGTACTGGCGATACAACGAAGACAACAAGAGGACAGACTGGGGATATCCCAAGGGTATCAAAAACGCCTGGAAATCAATTCCCGATCACATTAATGCTGCCGTACAGTGGGTCAACAGAAGAACCTACGTTTTCAGGGGAAGGCAGTATTTAAAGCTTCAGCAGGGAAAGGTATATATGGAGCAAGGATACCCTCAAGAGATTGCCAAAAGATGGATGAAATGTAACCCTGGCGATGAAAAGGACAGAGGTTTTGCCTCAAAAGATCCCTAAAACTACACGAAAAATGTGATGTCCTCTTTAATGTGCATGTATTTTAGACGGGAGAAATAAACGAAACATTCATGAACTGATGGTCTCGTTTAGAGGTCATAGGTTTATGATCACAGATCAAATAGTCAAAGGTAACAGGTTGCTGCCCACAGCAGAGGGAGTTTCGTATTATGATTACTAGACGATTCAGATTTCATTCGCGTAATACTGAAATTATAGATCTTATAACAAATATATATCAACTTTTTTCCGCATCACCAGAAACAGCGCTAAAACTTTGTCACTAAACAAATTTCCTTCATTTCAGAACTTTTCCTATTGACTCGCGCTTAAACGTTTGATTTTAAGTCCAACGCCTGCAACCCTCCCCTCCCCCACCAAACAAATATTTTCTCCTCTACAATTCTGTATGTCCTATTTTAACCTATCACCTGTAGCTTTCTGAGGAAACACCCACCATCCAAGAAGTGAAACAAAAACTCTAAAATTTTTAAACAGTTGTGGAAAACAGAATAGTTCAGTCGACCTTACCCAATTTCGTGTCATTACAACACTCTTGTTGCTTGTAATATAGAATAATTGCGACGGGTCTGTCAATTTCATGGGATTTCATCACATAAATTGATTTATCACAATCCTTGGTTAACCAATGGAAACTTTTAAACTGTTTTCACTTTTTATGAGTTGAATTCTTTAAATATATCATGTGTAGGCTCGAAATTAATGGAAGACACTCCTTAATTCTCTCTCTCCCAAGATCGCATTAATAATTCTCTTAACTTTCTGCCACACAGTTCTTATGATGTTAGTTTCGAGGATTTGTTATTGTTATAAAGAATCTCCTAGCTGTATTTCTTTATTCCTATCACTTGCCTCCTTGATATTGCATTGAAATTGTAAGGAGGAAATCTGTTTTGGTCACTCATGGGAGTTAAAGGGTTATGAACCATCTGAACCAAAAGAATGTTCTCAGCGATAAGTTTCGCGGCAGTTAAACTTGGCCGATCTATGAAAAGGAAAACCGGATGGCACTAATGCAACACTAACAATAAAAACAACAGGCTTTGTTTTAGTAGTAATAGAAGTATATCATAGCATTACAAAAGCGGTCCAAATTTCATTGTAGCAGGGACCGCGCAGAGGGAGGAGCTGTAAATAAATAAGTTAAAAAAACATAATTTAATAAAAATAACGGAGCCAAAAAAAAATAACCCCCCCCCTCCTCACTCAAAACTTGCTGCGCGGTCCCTGTGTAGTCAATGCAATCATGTAACGAAAGTAAAATTAGCGGGAGAAATTGCAACTGTGATTTGCTCATTGCAGTCTCCAGCCTTCAGGGTTAACGAAAGGGAAACGCAAGAAAGACACTAGAAATCCTCCGAGGGCAGAAGATCTTTTAATATTTATAAATAATTAAAAAAAATAGACCAGTTTTCTATTTCACTTACTTATGTATCGCAGATATTTTGAGTTATTTAAAAGAGAGACATTGCCATGAAGTGAACAGGCTTCATTGGGAATTTAAGAAAACAATTCCTGCCAGGGCTGTTTTTGTACAAGTACGGAAGAGAGTAATTGGCCCAGTTTTTAATAATCATTCATCTGAATGATGATTTTGAATATACGAAATTCATATATTTGCACCGCGGTGAAGAGATGAAATTAAGAGATCCTCGCAGCTAAGAACACTACTGAAACGAGTAGTCATCTATTGTTGTACAAATCTACCACAATTTACCATTGTCTTTTTAAGCTGAAATAGATTCCTTGTTGCCGTGCATCTGTTCAATAATAAATCACAGATGACGCCAAAATGTGGTAAGAATAAAAAAGGTAGCACACGGGGCGCAGCTGAGTGTGTCGCTGATGTTCTTAACCCTTCAACTCCCAAGATCTGATCGTTAATTTTCCCCCTTAGCTGCTACGCATTTCCTTGTAAATAAGTCACGAGAATTTGGTGTCAGATCGAGATAACAACTTCGATTTGATAAGTATGAATATTCTCATGACCTGATTGCTGGGTAATCTTAGGTTATTATAGGAAGAAGTTACTTGTTAATCACCTAAAGTTTGACATATTTTGACGTCTTTTGTGTTAGTGTTCACTGAGACCCATGGCAACATGGAAGCTAGTTGTGTTTATATGATATGCTGAAACCTACACGTATTTTGATTGGTTCTTTCCTATAAATATGTACGTGTATGACGCCGCCATTCCAAAAATTTTGCTTATTTATCATATAATTAAAACGTTTGTGAATCACTCTTCTCCCAGTAGTGATTTACAAACTTTTCCGTGTTCTCCCTACAGACCTCGTGGGCTATTACGCCGGTACACTGATAAAAAGTGTATCATATACTTAAAATGTTTATGAATCACTCTTCTCCAAGTAGTGGTTTACAAACTTTTTCCGTTTTCTCCCTACAGCCCTCGTGGGTTATTACGCCGGTACACTGATAAAAAGTGTATCATATACGTAAAACGTTTGTGAATCACTCTTCTCCTAGTAGTGATTTAGAAACTTTTTCCGTGTTCTCCCTACAGCCCTCGTGGGTTATTACGCCGGTACACCGATAAAAAGTGTATCATAAACTTAAAACGTTTGTGAATCACTCTACTCCTAGAAGTGATTTACCAACTTTTCCGTGTTCTCCCTACAGACCTCGTGGGTTATTACGCCGGTACACTGATAAAAAGTGTATCATAAACTTAAAACGTTTGCGAATCACTCTTCTCCTAGTAGTGATTAAGAACCTTTTTCCGTGTTCTCCCTACAGCCCTCGTGGGTTATTACGCCAATACACCGATAAAAAGTGCCCATGGCTCTCGACCAATGATCGCGCAATAATTTGTACAGTTGTCTTGAAAATCTGATTGTTATCCTTGCATATGTGACGAGAAGTAAATTTAATTACAAAACCTTCCTTACACCTATCAGGTAAATGAATATTCAATAAGGATGTAATTATGGTTAGGTAGGGAAGTTGAACAACAAAAAGGAATCTGGAAATAATGGGATTAGCTGTCATGAGCCATCCTTTGGTCAGGATTATACAGCGACGTTTCTGTCTAGTGACAAGGCATTTTTGCGCACAAATCGTGTAATATTACAGTTCATTAGTCCGACAGTTGTGCTCCCCGGAAATAAAAGAGAAAGGCATTTCAAAAATAGCCCGAATAAATGACAATGTACGAAAGTGGGCTGATATCTTGTCACCCCTTTACAACACAAAAGTATTAAATGAGGCGTTAACCTCATTATCTAACTTGTCAAGGTTTGTGGCAGGCTTTAAGAATACGGGCGCCTTTGATATGTATTTGTATTCTGGGGGTTCAACGAGTGATTACATCGTGTAGTGGTACATGCCGTGTGTCTAAATTCACTGAGAACTTATCGTCTTAGTTCTTGGTCATCCAGCTGGGTTCAATCATGAAAAATTCTTAAATGGATAACACCTGCGTCGCCCACGAAGATTAATCAGCCTAAATGGGCGCGTAATCCTGAATAGTGGGAGGGTCATTTTTCTAAGTTTCAAATGAGAATTGAGTTGTTTGAATAAACTCAAAGCTTGTCGGATTTCCTTCCATCATCAATGCCACTTTTCATTTCCTCTCTGTACAGTTTGACATATCATTGGTTTTGGGGCGCGGTGCCAGCTTTGTTACTAAATATAAAAGAAGGAAAATTATTTTGTGTTTTCCACTTGTTGTGGGATGATTACATTCATAAACTTCCATTGCTAGGCATTTTAAGAAAGAATTTCTGTTGTAATTGTATACTTCGATAAGGTCTGTGTGCGTCAAGCGAGGAACTTGTTCGCGAGAAATAACCGATCAAAAGAACCAGTGTTCATCACTTTTCAACATGAGCTCCTCCAAATCCGTGACTCTTTTAACAGCATTCTCCGCTATCATGGTTGCTCTAACATCAGCAAGACCTGCAAGTGTACCGCCAAACGTTTTGGTGAGTTTTTATTTGATGTGGTAAGCTTTAATAAATCTCTTTAAGGAACGAAAATCTTTGTAATCAAGAGGATACAGTTTTTTTTTTGGTCAAAATGAATGGGCGCAAAATGTTTTAACCATGCAGAGGTTGTTATTATTTCAGTAATTGTTGTTAAGACGCTTAGTTGTCGATAGACCACACATTTTAAATTTCGATTGCTCAAATTGTGTTCCTGACATTATCCTATTCAGAATGCTCCTATTTCTTTAGATATGTAAAAGTTTATGTGTTCTTTTTATCATTTTTTGTTTTCTAAATTTTTTTGTTTAAACTATCTCCCGAGGCAAAAATTCCTCAGTAGGATATTTCAACACGAATGTTTTCCACAGGAAATTCAAAATTTAGATAACTCATCTTTCCTCGAGGATGCATTACAGTCAGAAACACGCTGAAACCTTCAATAGAATGTGTTGTTTGACATCCTTAGTCCCTTGTAAATCTTAATTTTTTTTGCTCTGTCTCAGATGGCCGTCTGTCTGCTATACAAAAGTTATTAAGGACTTGAATTCTTTTTGCAATTCAAAACTTTTCAGCGAGTTCCGAAAAAAGGCCTGGAAAATTCTTTATATCTGTTAAACCTTCGGAAGAGAAAATTTCACGCCAAAGAATTTCACTCAAAAACCAAAAGCCTCTTTGTTTTTCCTGTCTTTAAATATTGGATAACAAATGGAAAGATTCTCTGAAAGTGATGTCATTATGACGTCAATATTTTTTCAGTCATCATTGTCAAGGAGGGCCGCAGGAACAAACACGTAGGTTAAACAAACCTCCGCTTGAAACATCATTACAAAAGTTAAGTAAATTATGATATGCGATGCTAAAAGAAAACAGCTTTTGAATTGCAAAATTTCATAACGCCGGATGTTCACAAAAGCTCTCATTCAATTATGGTTGGGTACAAAGTGTAACGGGTCCACTCGAATAAAGTGCCAGATATGAAACTTCACGCTATGTAATAATTGAAGTTTTTTCCTTTAAAAGTCCGTCGCGCAACAGGTTCTGTCTGGCCTTAAAAACGACTATTCATTTACTTAGTACAATTCTTGCAGACTTTTGGACTTCGGATTTCGACGATTAAAGATCCCAGCTCTTTCTAACCCACACTGCCCTCTTGGGTCAACGTTTGTGGTATTGAGACACGTCAGACTGTAACGGCTAGAATAGACTTCAATATGACTATTAAATATCAGATTCTTCCGTATAAAACTTCCATAAACCATTTTCTATTATCTATATATCAAACCCACGGAAGACAATTTTTTAATTTTGAGTGTAAACTATTGAAATATTTCATCCGAACGGATCCTTTTTAGTAGAAAACAAACAACAAGACTTTTGGAGCACATCCAACACTAATATCTCTTCGTCAGACACAGGAAGAATACGGACAGCAACATTTTGTGTCTTAACGCTTGCGGTTTTTAAGCTATTAATAACTACAAACCACACAACCCCTTACTGCTGTGAAATAATGTAGATATAACATAGATAGTTCACATTCTTCAGAGATTATTTCATACGTCCGATTTGGCTTGTAGTGTCTCTTTCAGAACAGGAACGCGTTTTCTTCGATGAAAGCAAAAGGTTTAGAGTATATTGTCTCAGAAATCTTGAGGGGTCTTGCAGGGTCTTGAGTGGTAATCTGTCCTTAAACGAACAATTTCGTTCCAGTTTGACTCACAGCTGGGGGTACAAATTATTCAACTCACTCGTTTTGACTTCCCTTGAATAATTTTAATTTTCAGTCCGACTTTTCGGTTTGTGATACTCAATCAGGTCTTCCGAGGAAGGGACACATGCCCTTGGCTCAAACAATCTCACCATCGAGGTGTCTGAATCCCAGAACAGAAAGGCTTTGTTTAAAATCTGGTTTCGGATAAAAGGGGACCTATATCATTGACAATTTTGGACACAAGGAATCTATTTCATTATAAGTTTTATCAAATTCCCCTTCGGAAAAGAAGAACGCTCTAAAGTTTGCCTCGCTCCTAAGGCGTACTCTTCGTGGCTCAGTTGGAAGTACTAAAATCGCAGTCGTCCTGCGATGATCATTTCTTTGGTTAATTTTGTCTAATTTTTAGACAAATTAGATTAAAATGAATTTGGCCGTTACCAAACCAGAAGTAAAAAAATGCTTTAACATATGAAAAGTCAGAGAAACCTCTCGATCACTTTCGTATTTGGAGCACTAAACCGCTCATACATGTTTCTTTGTATCACAGATTACGACGGGTCAGCTTTCGTTGTTATTTTTAGCTAAGAAAGGAAAACAATCCTGACCAAGAGTGATCAATCTAGCCGAGGACCACCATGCTCACATTAAAATGGACTTCATCCACCGGCGTTCACTTTGTGTGCATTTGAAAAGTTTGCCGTCAACAGTTTTCTTTCAATATCTGCTACACTTTTTCTTTTTACGTATGTATCTCTAAGTTAGTGATAACTTCGTTTCTCAATCTCTGCCGGTTGGGATATTTTGTTTTCCTCTAAATTAAAAAAAAACCTTACTTAACGTATCATATGATGACTGTTTAACAGAAAATCACTTAATCATACTTCTTAACTTGTACGCAAGTAAATCTACTTGGTTGTTTATTTGTTTGTCATGATATCAAAAATCTCAACAACTCACTTTTTAGAATTACTTGGAGAGATATGGTTACCTGTCCCCTAGCGATGTGAAATCAGGAGAAGTAAAGAGTAAAAGGATACTTGATCAAGCAGTGAGGAATCTTCAACGTTTTACAGGGCTGAACGAGACCGGAAATCCAGAAGATCCAAGCACGACTCAGTTGGTTACAAAACAAAGGTGTGGTTTTCAAGATCTTGGTAAAGCAGCAGAGTTCCGAAGAAAGAAAAGATATGTTCGTCATGGAACTTCATGGAAGAAAAGAGTGAGTGGAAAGATTTTTCTTTTTTGGGGGGGAGGGAGGGGAATGGGGAGGGGCAAAGGGTGGAGAGGGTCTCGGTTTAGTAGCTGCATTGCAAATGGAAATTGAACGCAGACCAGCTAACCAAGATGAAAGCGCTGTGCATTTTTGAAATTCAAGGCTCCGAAAATCTGTCTCTGTTTGCTGCCAAAAGGAAAGAGGATAAAGGAGAATGCTCTTGTTCCAGAGGGATGAAAAGGATCCCAAGGTGTTAGAATGGCTCAGAAGTGCAAAAGAGTTTTGTATAGTTATTTAGTAGTTTTCTCTGGTGAATTTGAAGTGCCTGACACTTTCTTATTGCTATTTGATTCGTTATTGGTCATATCTGTATGATTAATTGAAATAATTTTTTCTAAGTAACTTTTTTGTTGTTTTACAATGTTTTACATTTTTCCAGCATTTAACTTACAAGATAACACGCTATACTTCAGACCTCACAAAAAAGCAAGTGGACAGAACAATAAGGTCTTCCTTGAAGATGTGGGCAAAGGTTACTCCACTGACCTTCTCAAAAGTGAGCAGTGGTCCCGCAGATATTGAAATCGTTTTTGAAAAAAGGAAAGACGATGATTATTCATTTGACGGGAGAGGAGGCGAACTGGCTTATGCTTACTTTCCTGGAAATAACAAGGGTGAGTTGATAAAGTGGCTATTACCACTAAGCTATTTTTCAAAAATTGAAAGTGAACGAAGCTTGATTGAATATCTTCGGTGAGTTACCAAAGAAGTTTGTGGCCTGTCAGACAGGGTTCGTAACAGGATAGGTAATTTTTCATTTTTTTTTTAACTTTCTTTCTAGACTGCCAAAAGTATTGGAATCAACCATAAAATATTCATTTAGAATTTATTGTGAAATTACAATATCGATTAGAAGCATTCTCCAATCGTCGGAAATTTCATTTTAAGCCATCAAGTTTAGTCTGAATTTTTTCATTTTCCAGCCTGATTTTGTTTATCTTGGAGAAAGGTTTGAGAATCTGAGATCGTGGACGCGAAAGCTTACTATTTGCCACACTTTAAAGACTCTGATGTCTATTTCCTTGAGATTCGAGTATTCTCTATAATATCTACTGTCAACTTGGAACTCATGATGTTTTCCTTGATCGAGCAGGAAAGGTAAAACACGTCGCTATGCGTTTTGAAACCCGTCGTCTCGTATTCCCGCAACAACCAGTATACTACTGATTGGACGAATGTAACTCGGTCTTGAAGAATTAGACTAAAAAATAAAATATTAGCATGACAGAAAGAGGACTATCGGGACAAAAGAGTTTCGATTCTGATTTAATTCCAGATGACTGACTCTCCTTACTTTTTAGGGGACTTTGGAGATATCCATTTTGATGACGAAGAAACATTTACAGTCTCCAGACAGGATGGAGCAGTAGACCTTAGATGGCTGGCCCTCCATGAGCTCGGACATAGTTTGGGGCTCGCTCACTCCTCTAACAAACGGGCCATAATGTACCCGATTTATGAAGAAAGTCTGTCGGGAAATAGACTGAACCGTGATGATATTCTTGGAATTCAACATATATACGGTACGCCAATCCCGTTTGGGCGCAGAGTTGAAAAGTAGCTAAAACTTTGTATTTTCTTGTTAAAAAGCAATTTAAAATTGCTTGTTTTTTATTTTCTTTGTAACTTACTGAGAAACCTCGAGCCATCCAACCGACGAATCACACGCAACTCAAAGTGATCGTAGGCGTTTCTTTAGCCTCGTGTAACTGCAGGTGCGATGACTAAGCTTTTGGATTTGCGACGTTCAATCGAAATGCGCTCTATCGGTGCATACCGTTTATTAACATTTATGTGTTGTAACAACCTTAGGTAAGCCAAATATCAAAAGAGTCACACCCACTCCTCACCTTGACCCGGTACAGTCTCCAGGAAAACCCAATCCTTGCAGCAGTACGCTTGACGCTATGATAATGACCGCCGACAAGATAACCTATGCCTTCAAGGGGGCATATTTTTGGCCGGTCGGCGATCAGGGAGCATTTACTGGAGCTCTTAAAATATCTGAATTCTGGGAAAAACTCGAGGATGATATTGACGCTGGCTATACAAGAAATTTTGACGGACTTACTTTTATTTTCAAGGGATCAAGGTGAGTAGTTTTTCATCATTTTTCCATTAATTTACTTATCCTTCTATCGATCC